TTCAGGCGGGAAGACCGTGCGGCTGCAAGTATCCCTGCTCGTGCGGAAGGGGGAAGAAGCGAACATCATTTTCCTCGCCAACCACGAGCTGTCTCCATGCCATGCGAACGCGCCTGATGAGCCCACAGCGATCCTGACGTGCTGCTGGTTCACTTGAACAAAGGGGGAGAATTGCCAAACGATCCAACTGATTCCAAGTTCGAGAAGTGATGTTCAGCAGTGACCATCAAGCCCACCCCTGCGTGCTATGACAAGCAAATGGAAACTTTCTCTCAAGCAGTGTAAAGGGGCAATACACCACTAAAGTACGGCACCTGGAAATTGGAAGTGCCTCTAGAAGACTGTTCTTTCCGATGTGCGGATAATGATATGGCCCAGGGAGGACCTTGTATCCTCCATCACCGTAAAATGCCGCGGACAGCGATAGCCGCTCAAACTACTCTCAGGAACCTTGCGACGGTCAAGATAGAATGACATTTGGCCTACGAAGCGATGGGACACGCGTGCTAATGCCGTTGACAATTTCTATCACTGCTTCTAAGGCGGCAGCGGAAATAGTTCAGAGAGCATGGTTTGGTTTAGTGTCGCACGACTGAAGAAATGTAATGCATGTCTTGTTTGATGTGGTTGGAAGGTTGAGACAGCGTTGATGCGGAGTGCGATGTGGCTTTGGAGCCACAGGGAACCGACGTTCTCTAGAATGTGATATTGCAGCCGATCTTTCGCACGACTCAGGACCTCTAAGTTCTGGAACCAAGGAAATTTGTTGATCGCCGTGCCTGTGTCCGTATCCAGTCCAGATATACGAACGGGCCAGCGGTATTGCGTTTCCTACTCGAGTTTTGCATGGCTGGCGATTCTGCACCTCATCGAAGTCTCCTTCGAGTACCCTGGTCGTAAGAGCCCCGGTTCGACGGTGATCGGCGTTGCTAGTGTCTCCATTCCATAGGGAGAGCAAATATCAACCGGGTTGAACCCATGTTTGCTTTACGAGGAAGCCAACTATGCCTTTTGAATCTCTCAACAGTAGCAACATTTAGTCAAGAACAAAGACCGTCCGTTGGTGAGATAGCGAGCTGTTCCAGCACTCGAGTAGCAGCGCAGAGAATAAGACTGGCTGCACGTTGGCGCGGATATCACGGTGGCGGGTGTTTCGATCCTCCTGCACGTTGGTAGTCATGTCACTGGTGATGACCTGCAGACCCCTTGTGACTGCATATCCGGGGGTCTGCATTCCGTAATGTCATTTCTCTCCAGTGGTGAGGAGTCGAGGACTCGGGTCTCGAGGAACTGAGGAACTGGGAGACTGCAAAGTGACAGGTCGGCGCCGTGGCGGGTGGATTTTGAGGAGAAGAGCTCGAGCCTCGTCCCATGTTGCATTGGTGCCGACTAGCCTGGAGGAAACAGAAATTAGTCGGGGAGCACTGAGCGCAAAATGACAGAGGCATATTTGGCAGGCAGCTGTCAATCAGACGTTTGCATTTGCGGCCGCCGAGCCCCCACGAGTCCGAGTGTGAATAAGAATGGGTTGGCAGCGAGGTTTCGTCTGTTGTCTGTAATCTGTCTGGACGGGTAGATCATCTCAGTAGACGCCCCATGTGGTCAATTCTCGCATGCACTGCTTGCGTCTCTATGCCTGGGCATATGCGAGGCGAAAGCCGCCGCATGCCTCGAAATGCCTCGTGGTCTTTCGATCGATTTTGGTGCCTTTCCGTCGCGTAACCCCCTGTTCCGTCGGCCGAGTAGGAGAAGGGTCTGTATATTTTGCCGGCAATACACGGATACTTGGCTTTTTACTCCGTATTGCGTGTGTTTTCTCTCTGCTTAGATGCAGAGATGTAGATAGGATTCAGATGTTGCAACTCGGAATCTTGGAGCAGTACAGAGTTGCAGCACTGCAGCATCGATATTCCATGTTTGAGACAGGCACGAGTGCGAAGCCCGTGACCTCTTTGGCTTGTTTTGCAGCTGAAGTCGGGAAACGCTAAGACGACCATCAGCGGTGGTTTGGCCGAAGCTAGAGGATGGCTTTGAATCGGTCGAGAAGCCATCCCCTATTTCAGCTGGGCCAACCAGCCACCTCGAGTAGTCGAGCTGTGAGTGACATCAAGACCCCTGGAGGCTTGTTGCCCGAGAGCCGCAAATCCCTGTCCTTGCAGCTCATTTGTCCTGATTAAGGTGCTGGACTTCCCTGCGGCATCTCCACCAAAGTGGTCTTGGGCTCGTTATTTTCTCAATGGCAGGACTCGAGACCTTTGATGGTCTGTCTGGCACTTGTGAGAGGGAGGGAGAAGCCAGCTTTTCAGCATGCAACACCCTCAGTGAGGGTGAAGAGCAGTTGAAGTTGACGCAGCTGAGCGTCTAGGGCATAAATACGCCGTGAAGGAGAGCGAGTGTGCCATTACTCCGTACCGCTGATTGCGCCTAGCCATGGGTCTTTAACGAAATCTATGGCTGTCGAGGTTAAGCGGAGTAAAGGAAGAGGGCGGTGTGTTGATGATTGGTGCCTCGACCCATTTCACTGCTCGGCAACGAAATCAGAGGGACAGGTTTGCCGGAGAGGTGGCGGGAGCGCATACGGCCCGCCATAGGGATCCACGAAATCCATCTGCTGGCGGCTTCTGGATGGTTGTTTACCGCTTTGGAGTGGTGCACGTGTGGATGCGGTTGATATGTGTGCAGTTTCTGGTGGCCGGGGTCGTCAGGCGAGAATCACGGCTGAAGCACATGGGCATCAGTCAGGACTCACTACTCAGGAGCCCGGGCAGCCGGTGGAATTGTGACGATGTAAAATGTGCTGTGCGTTCTGCATGCTAGGTATTCGAGAGGGTGGTATTTGTACCATTGAGAAGCAGATGGTGGTGACAAGCCAAGCATGATAGGCTTGAGAATAGGTTAAACAGAGTTCTGAATGGGTGGTAGCATTTGCTATGCTGGATTGAGGTACGAAACGTGCTTTGCTTTGCATCGTGTGAAGGTGTAACTGTAAGTAAAGTACGCATAGATGTACTGTTGCTGTGTAGGCGAGAGGTTCCCGTCTTAGCCACTGATTCTTTTCGCAAGTATTTCTTGTACATGGCAGGTTTCTGATGGACATTGTAACCCAATCGGCAAGACCAGAAGGGACAATGACCAAATGGGCAAGGACACACATACGAATGCGTATTAACAAAAAAAAAGGCCACTTGAAGTTTCCAGTAGAGTAAAGTACCTGACGGAGACCAGTGTACGGATAGAGGTACCGGAGTGACTTGCGGTTTGGAGGATGGGAAACAAGAGAAAAAGGGTCCAAGCTGTTCATCTTGCGGCCTTGCAGGCTGAAAGTGACAGGATGAGGGATCCATCTCCACATCCATATCCGTCCGTACAGACGGGTATCTGGAGCACGCAACCTGGATACTTTTACTAGGTACGGAGGACGGAGCACTAGGTATTGGATGATGCCAGATGGTAAAGTTGCGGTGGCCGACGAGATACCTGAGGTACCTCGTTCTGCTGGGTCTGTTTCTCTCTCCGCAGAAGGAAGAGAAGACGACAGAAAGAATAGAGGAGGGAAGGAGGTGTGTGTGTGTGTGTGTGGAAAAAGACATGTCGACGACGATCCTCGACCAACTCCTTCTCTTTCCTTTCGATCTTAATTTTTTTACTTTACGTTTACCCTTTTTTAGCTTCTGTCCCATCTTCTTCTTGTCCCGTCCAGTCCCCGAATCGACTGCAACTCTCCTTCTCCCACTTGTCTATCCGACTGTCTGGATTGGGGCCCAGACTTAACCTTTTGAGGCAAGAATCACACACCACAGTGACCAGACACCATACACCAGACGAGGAAAGCCGTTGCTTTCACACCCCTCCTTCCTCGATCCGCATTCGCACCTGTTCACGACACTCCTTCCTCCCCAATTCTAATACTAATTTCAAGCTCTCGCTCCCACAACCTTCTCTGCCCTCACTCTCTGCCTCCTACGCTCCTTCTGCCACCAGTCTACCATCGCTCACTCATTTCCATCCATTTCCACCCTTTCCCACACACAACTGAGTTGTCCATCACATCGAGAACGCCGGGCGTCCACCATCAAACACTCCTTGGTTTTCCTACTCTTCGACAACTGCGACAACCTCTAATACGCACAAGCAACCTCATTTGCAGCTCACGAATACCACAAAGCTCCCACGTCACTAATTCTCACACTTTCTCTCTCTCACACACACACACACCTACACACTCCCACGAATCACCCGACGAACCAGTGAGACACTTCCCGCTAGACGCCGACGTGCATGCGCCCAAACAAATCACCCGAACGAACACCTGATGGACGATCGGAACATACAACTTGTAGTACATCAACTGCTAATTCCTAATTAACGAGAGCAACGATCTACTCATAAGGCCCGCCGACTATCTACACGACTTCACCAGGACGAAATCAGTAAGACGTGCCGGCGTAGGAGAAAAAAAGGTTGCTTCAACATCTGGAGGTTAGACACCGAGCGAACCGCTAGAGGCCCAGAGAGGGATCAGCAACAACGAACATCCCAGAGTCACAAAATCTGCAGCATCGCAGAACCACAAAAAAGAGGAACCGTTGGGAGACGAAAAAGAAAAAGAAAAGAAATAACGATAACGGTTATCAGCAAACGAACACCTGCAGGCGCGCACACACCACTAATCGACCCGTGAGCCACGGAACGCGACCATCTGCTCATTGGACGGTACGACGTGTGGATTCCCAGAGGAACAGGCCTCTCAACTTGGGTGGACTGGGGTCAGTCAGAGACAAACAGCGCAAAGAGCTCAACCCCGGCGCTGGGAAACTGACCAAAAAAGAAAAAAGAGGGCGAGGACGAAAAAAAAGGAAGGGGAAAAAAACAAAGGAGCCCCAGCCAGACTCGCAGGCGCAGCGACCGAAGCGAATTGAAAGCGGACCCCGAACCTGGATTTCCTGACCGAGAGAGAGCAAAGACACCACTTGACCCCTAACAGCCCCCCCGACGCGAACATGGCTACGGCCACAGCACCAGCACCCGCACTCGCACCCGCAGCAGCAGCAGCAACAGCAGCAGCAGCAACAGCAAATGGTGGTTTCGAAGCTGCGGGCCATGCCCCGACTCTGAATCCCACACTCTCTTCTTCTGCTACGGTATCCGCATCCGCGTCCGCGTCCGCGTCTCCTTCATCCTCATTCTCTTCGCAAAGTGCTGTTGCATTCCATACTCCCTCACTTTCTGCGACATCGTCAGCAAATTCACCCTCTTCACCTTATCACGCACATCGGCTGAGCCACAACTCGTCCAAGCTTCCCGCTTTTCGATTCGCCGACTTACACAAGCAATACCAATCCCCACGCCTAGTGCTCCCCTCACTACTGCAGCACATCCCGCCGTCGCCTGTCTCGCCTAAATCGACTCCAACATCCAACGAAATTCACTCGGCACCTCCAGCTAACATTGCTGGTACTGACACTGCCGCCGCCGACATATTCACCGACCTGAACGCCGTCACTGACATTGGCATTGGCATAACCACAGAGACTGACACCGCCTCTCCCACCACCCTGCCAACAACGTCAGACCTGCAGCTGCACCAGCAGCCACAACAACACAACGCCGACCCGGAAAACAACATCCCACCCCAAAACACCCGCTCGACTTCACTTCGACTACACGATCGGCGCCCTTCCCATCGTCAATTGTCGCAACTCTCCCCTCGCATTTCGAGTCCCATTCACGAACTGCCCGAGTCGCCTCCAAAACTCAGCCCTCGATCCCGCGCATCAACGTATCAGATTGCTACCCAGTCGACCCCTGCAACTTCAGCCACCTCACCCAGACGGCCCGCGTCTTATCCCGACCGCCCCGTCATTGTGCAGACCATCTCATCCCACGGCAACGTCGCAGACCTCAAGACACCTGCCCCTCTCTCCCGACTACAAACTCGACGAGCGGCTGCATACCGATCCCGCGAGTCGAATGCGACCGATACCGAGTCACCACCCGCAGAGACCGATCACTTGCAAACCCCCGACACACCCGACGAAGTCGCTCAATTCCCAGGCGACAAAACAACAAAGGACTGGGCCAAGGGACAGCGCGAGCTGATACTGCCAAAGACATTGGAGAACTCAAGCCCGACAGATGAAAAACGAAAGTCGATAGCTTCGCGACCCCCCGTATCCTTCAAAGCCACTACCGCTAGCACCCAGACCACCTCGGTGCGCGTGGCTCCCATCCGTTCCTTTCGCTCATCCGGGTCTCGTCGAAGTCTGGGACTCGACAGTAGCACCTCGACCATGCGGTCTTTTGACTTTGGCGACGACTACGCCGACTCCAATCAGCGCGACCGCACTCTGCGCGCCCTTGAAGGCAGACGCGACGACGACTATTCGCAAATGACACCGCCGTTGTCGGCCGACGCCGACGACACAACGGGTGACGTCTTTATGAAAATCGCCAGACAGGAGCCAACGCGCCGTAGTTCTAAAGAGGTTGCGCCAGCGGAGCAGCCAAGTGCCATAGTAAGTTTAGCCACCTTTCATGGGTTTTGCGTTGTTGTTTCGGGAAATCTGTTAGCGCGATGCAAACGGCCGTGCCCTGCGATGGCTGGAGTCTGTTCGCCATGTTATCAAGCCGCCTTCCCGTATCTTTTGCTTGATCTTCCCGCTCTTCCCACACTTTCCTATTCAATTCCCCGTTTGGATATGATAGTCCACCGCGTCTCTAGCGCTGCTTCATTTCCCACGTTCCGGTGACGCTAATCCTGGCGTCCTGGACATGTTGATAGAGTTTCGCCATGGATGATCGTGAGCTTACTGACGATGAACAACAGGCCCGTGTCGCAAGATCTTCGCATCGCCGACCCCTCTCCGCAGCTGTTCCATTGTCTTATCATCATCCCGTCTCCCCACCCCAAATCAGTCGTCGTCTGTCCGACCAGCAAGAGACCTCTAAGAAGAGAATACGCCAATCGTCGGAGGACGACAGCGCCGCTGACCCAATGGCTCGCGCTTTGGCGTACCGATCGCCTTTGACTCGAGACCGCCCGTCGTCCGCGCATCCCGGCGAAGACCTTGGTCGCGCAAAGACTTTCCATCAATCTTCCTCTCGCTCGACCGTCAACACACCCCGGTCCTTCACCTTTCAAGATCCGATGGGAGAGAACTCTCCATATGCACGGAGAAGACCATCTTTGACAGACAGCAATACCGGCTACTCGGCGCGGGGCTCGGCGTACAGACAATCGAATTTATCGTATGGCCAGACGCGCACGTACAACTCTTCGCCCTTGGTTCCCAAATCGATTGAAGCCCCGCGCACCGAGTCGCATCAAGACGCAGCAACGACCGTTGAAGGAACCGAATCGACGGCAACAGCATCCACAAATGCACCGTCGACAGTGTGGGACGAATTGGATGATCTCAAGTCCCGCATCCATCGCCTGGAATTGACCGGCAAACTGCCCAAGACCTCGGGCGCTGCCATGTCTCGAGCCTCAGACGACCGCCCACCGACCGCAACTAACACGACAATGTCCACCTCGCCGAAACGAGCTTCCGAAAGCCAGCATCCCCACGCCGACGCTATCAGCACGACGTCTTCACAACGCGAGGTCCAGCAGCCCATCCTCCTTTCTGCTGTCAGCAAGTCCAAGCCATTCCTTAGTGAAGAGGTGGCAAAGGCACTCGAAGTGGCAGCAACAGACGCTCTAGCACTGGCCAACATGATGGGGACGGCAGGCCAACCTGGGCCCATCTCAAGCGGCGCCAGCACCATTGGCGTCGGCACCAGTCTGACAGACCGTCAATTGCGACGCAAGGCTGACAGCATCTGCCGAAGTCTCACGGAGTTGGTTTTGGCCTTGAGCGAGGAAGCGGTTGGCAACAAGACTCTCCAAATCAACGTTCCTACACCCAAGGAAACGACGACACCAGTCACACCGACCATTAACAAGACCTTCACCGGCGGGTCATCTGGTCAGCGACGCCCTAGCATAACGTCCGAGCAGCAGACTCTCCCGAAGCCCAATACCAATACGGTCACCAGCCCCAGGGCCCTTTCAAAATACGAAGAGAGGCGAAACACCATGCTTAACCCGGCTTCGCTTCCCAGTCCCAGGTTTGCCCTTCCACCTGGCACCATTCCCAGCACTCCTGGAGACGGTAGCAAAATGGCGAACCGAAAGTCATCCTTGTTCATTGGTCGGTCGCGACGGGCTGTTACTGAAGAGCCTGAGGATGGTCGTAGGTCGTCCATGCTTCTGAGGACCCGACGAGCAGGCACAGAGGAGCCGGAGGACTCACGCGAAGCAGTAGGTCGTGAGACTGGACGTCAAACCTCACTGCTTCGCTCGCGCAGGGGAACTGTCGGTGGCGAAGACGAAGATGAATCTAGGTTCCGCGCCCCGTCCCGCGCTGCTACAGAGCTCACCACCCCGGCCCGCGCGGTCTCTCACACCTACTACTCAAACACAAACTCTAACGAACTATCATCACCAGCTTCTTCTGCCCTGCCTCGCAGACGGTTCGGAGCTTCATCCATCACCTCTCGGCTGGTTGCGCCTTCCACGCCATCGCTGGCGACACGCCGCTATCTGGAAAGAACTCCAGAACGCGAACAACCTTCCTCGGCCGAGAAAGCCACAGAAGAACGGCCGCAACAAGTAGTTGCGCAGCCGCGGCACTTTTCTCTCAGTCATACTTCGTTGCTGAACCGGGCTAGCAGCATTAGCCGCAGGCCGAATCGCGACAGCACGATAACGAATTCATCAACGGCTGCTCAGTCGGGCAGTTACCGATAACGTCTTTACGAATCACAGTCACACGGATGGATGAATGTATCATAGATGTCTTTATTCTCACGCTGGCGTCATTCTTGTTTTGCATATGGTAAAACCGCATAGGCTCGGCAGCGGTTACTCTGTACTTGTATGACAATCCACGACGGAAGGCCGATTGATTTCTTGGGACTCGCCTTTCCCCGTTAAAAAAACAGGCTGGAGTGGAGCATTTGTATATCGAGCAGTCCATAGGAAACAAAAGGTTAAGGATAGAAGCATAGGATGCTTCTGACTTGTTTGGTCAACTTTGGTCCACTTTGTTCCTCCGCTAGAGATTACGTGACGCTGTACGGAATGTGATGATGATATGTGCAAAGGATCTGAGGATGTAGGTCCTACGCAAGCGCGAGTACCCTGGGTGCTTGGATACGCCTCTACGCTGCGATTGAGTTTGGTCGTATCTGTAAAGCAACCGTCAAACACCCCATGGTGTCTATGCGCCTTGATTCTAGACCCTGACGGAGGACCGTGCGAGGCCGCCGTTGGATTCGTCGCATTGAGAGGTAGTTGGTTGGACTGACAAGTTTTGACTCACCGGCGACGATTTCTGAAGGAAAATCGAAGTATGTTTGACAGGTGAAAAGGGGGGCTTGTTTGTTCATTGGATGAGCCACTCACCAAAAGGCCGGGAGGGGTGGTTTTTTAAGCGGGCCTGGGCCAAACCCAACTCCGACTTCACACATCGACTTACCTTACCTTAAGGTACCTTGTAACACGGAGGCTCTGTACATAAGGCTCCTCCTACACGTTTTCTCTCGTCCAACATCTTCCCACATGCCAAACCGACTCGTTTGTGTTTCTTCATCCAAACGAACCAAGCGTCTCGCTCTTTGTGGTATCACTTCCAAGAGACTGCCGAGTTTACTCTTCTCCGCAACGTTTGCTACTCGGTCGCGGACCCCACTTGCACCTCTTTCAACCGCGAGAGAAACTGCCACAAAGACCACGTGGAAGAAGACGACGACATTCGGTTTCCAGAGCTTTACAACCGATTCAGGTTTGTACACTGCCCGCCCAACATTATCGTGGACTCGAAGCTACGAGGAGATGGCCGACCATCATGAGGAGGCTGCTGTTGCTGCCGCAGTTGAGGCGCAGCAACAGAAGAGGGGAGGACGCAAAGGTGGAAAGGGGGGTGGTAGAGGAGGCGGAGGAGGAGGAGGAGGCCAGCCGAGAGAGGTGTTGGTTTCCAAGGCCCTTTCGAAGCTTTTGAGGCATCAGGCTGAGAATGCGGGTCTTAGGCTTGACGAGGGCGGGTATGCGCCCCTGGACAAGGTGGTGAGTTAAGAATCTGCTTTTCTTTTACGAGCGAGAGAGAGGGAGAGAGAGGGAGAGAGGGAGAGAGAGGGAGAGAGGGAGAGAGAGGGAGAGAGAGGGAGAGAGGGAGAGAGAGGGAGAGAGAGAGAGAGAGAGAGAGAGAGAGAGAGAGAGAGAGAGAGAGAGAGAGAGAGAGAGAGAGAGAAGATGAGGAGCGGAGGCAGTCCGTCATGTTCAAGAAAACATGACGGTCCTATCTTCTTTCAAAAGTCAGACTCAACAACAGCTACTGACGCGAAATGTTTTTTTTAAAAAAAAGCTCGCATACGGCCCTATCAAGTCTCTACAGGTAACTTTCTCCGACATCCAAGCCGCGGTAACGACGTCGGACAAGCAGCGCTTCGCACTCAAGCCCGCCCACGCCGCCGTGCTGGAGGAGACGTCGACGGCGCCCTCGGACTGGCTGATCCGCGCGAACCAAGGCCACAGCATCAAAGTCGACTCGGCGGGCCTCTTGACGCCCATCACGCTCGAGAGCGAAAATGTGCCGCCGGTGGTTGTGCATGGGACGTATTTTGCGTTTTGGAAGCAAATTGAGGCGTCGGGCGGGTTGAAGAGGATGGGGAGGAACCATGTCCACTTTGCGACGGGGTTGCCCGGCGACGAGAGGGGTGTGGTGAGCGGGATGAGGAAGGATGCTGAGGTGTTGGTGTATGTTGATGTGGAGAGGGCGTTGAGGGAGGAGGAGGGGGTGATGAAGTGGTGGGTCAGTGAGAATGGGGTTGTGTTGACGGAGGGGGATGGGGAGGGGGTTGTTCCGTGTCGGTTGTTCAAGGAGGTTGTTGCGAGGGAGGAGGGGAGCGGGGTGGGTGTGCTTTGGAGGGATGGAGGGAAGGTTGGGGAGTTGCCTGAGGGGTTGAGGATGAGGGCGCCGCCTGGTAAGGGGAGAGGCGGGAGAGGTGGTGGTGGGAGGAGGGGAGGGAAGGCTTGAGGTGGTGATGATGGTATGAGGCGAAAAGAAGCGAAAGACCTAGACATGTGACGGAGACAAAAGATGAGTTGGGCATAGGCGTATGGTGCCTGCGAGTTGCACAGGTAGAGATCTATGTTACTACTAGTAACCTCAACTTGACAAATCTCCGGACCCGCGAGCATAGAAGACCTTTGACTATGGTCATATTATACAGGGGACAACTCATTTCAACTCATGGCAAAGAGTATAAGTCACGTCATGAATAAGTGAAGGTCTGATTCATCCCCTTACTAAGCCATGTCAAAACGAAACAGTTGTATTGGTATGTATGTATGTCGTGAAGAACTAACCTCGGCTCCTTTTACATCTTCCAGCTCCCGAGTCTCCTCGTACCTCGCAGTCCCCCCCTCCCCCCCCTTCATATCAAGGTCATCCATGAGAATCCATCTGAAAGCTGATAACATCACGTAGCCTTCCTGACCAAGCCTCGCTCTTCCCCGCTCACATCACTTCCCCAGCACAAGCTTCGCCGTCCTCTCCCTCTTCTCAACCTCCGCCTCGAGCCACGCCAATATCGCACCCGCCATCTTCTCCCTGGCAGCCTTCTTGTGCAAGATCCGCCGCACGGCGCCCAGATCAGCCGGGATCCGCGGGTCGCCGTCGAAGTCGGCGCGGCCGTCCCAAAAGTCCTCGAGCGCTGAATCTGGCGTTATGATGTATCGGGGTACGGGGAGGTGGAGCTGCGTGCAGAGGTCCGGGACGCGCTTCTCTGCTGATGTCGTTGCGGATTCTGATGCCTGGGGTGTTGGGGCCGAGGTCGGTGCGGGAGAGATTGATGGCGTAGGGACCTGGGACTGCGCTGTAGTGCTGATGGGGGCTCCGGCGCCGAGGGAGGGTGTGCTTGCCGTGGACGTCGTCGTCGAGTCGTGGGTGGCGGAGGTTGGTGATGCCGTCACGTTCAGGGGGAGAGTTGGTTTCGGGGCCTTTGGGGTATTGGCGGATGGGTAAGGTGGGGTTTGGTGACTGGTAAGACTGCTGTTGCTGTTGCTCGCGGCAACGCTGGGCAAGTGAGCCGGTGGCGATGGGGACGTCTTTGGGGGTTGGTTCATGTCCTGCTTCTTCCTCGACGCGGTGGCGCTGCTTTCTGCTGGGGGCGGGCTCGGCGGGGATCTTTTGGAGGGTAGAACCGATCCGGACGAGACGCCACGACTAGGAGAAGGAGCAGGAATAGGAACAGGAATAGGAGCAACAGCAGCGGCAGCGAGCGCAGCACTAGCAGCCGGGGCAAATGGCTTTGGGAACTTTGGCAGGTCGCCCGAAGGCATCATGTGCCCGTTGTCAATGAGCCACTCGCAAGCTGCTTTGGCGGCCCATTGCTTCGCGTCCTTTTTGCCCTGGAAAGCAGGGCCGGCGCCGCCGCGAGAGATGTCTTCGCCGGCGTCCATGCCGTACCCCGGCCGGGGAAATACGTCGCCGGTGCTGTCAAAGGTTGCTGAGCAGGCCCATCGGAGCTCTTTGGCTTTACCCAGGCCTTGTTCCTGGCGGGCTTCGTCGTTGAAGGTTACCTTTTGGTTTCTAACTTGTTGGAAATCTGATCGTCTTTGATTAGTACGGGGTACATAGTATTAAGTCGTGTTGCGACGAAAGATGTATCGAGTATGAAGGGGGTGCTGTAACTCACGATTCAACAGGCCTAGCCAGTTCGTTTTACCCAGGTCCGGCTCCGGTCGTGGGGCCGGGCGGAGGAGGATGGCAATGGCCGAGACCTCGTGATCCGTGAGCGGAGCGGGACGGCCGTGTTCTGCCTCGAACGCTTCTTTGCCGGCGATGTACGATCGGAGGGCCGACCAGTCTACGCGCTGGGCGGTTGTGCCCTTTGTTGACGAGTCTCCTCCCGCCATGGTGTGTGTGTGTGTGTGTGTGTGTGTGTGTGTGTGTGTGAGTGTACGCGCGCGGAGGTGAAGTTAACGTCGCTGCGGCTGTGGTTATGCGTGCCAGAATATTTGATTTCACGGGTGATGATAAAGTGTGAGCTGAAATGAGAGGATGTCGTATGTAACACTGATAAGGCAAGGACATGAATGACAAGTACGTTTTACGTCATGAGATGCGTTTCCTCCTGTAGCGTGAGAATGTAGGAAACGGAGATAGGTAAAGTAGGTAGCTTGGTTCGTGCAGTTAAGAAGGTTAAGATGTTGGTGGGGTCGCGTTTTCCGGCCGCCTTTGGCTGTGTGGTGGCCGCCCTTGCTTGGCTGGGTCAAAGTGGTGTTCTGCGGGAGGCTGCCGGCTCTTCGTGGTGACAAAAGTGACGCATCTGCAGTGCACCCGTAATGGAAGTCAAGTTCTATCTGGCAAGGGTGATGCGTCTTGTGTGAACCTGTCGCAGGCATTTTTGGATGTTACGACAGCCTGCTCTACAACGTAAGGTTGAGAGACTGCAGGCTTTGTCTGGGCTGACTTCAGATGACTTTCGAACGACATGTATCGGCTAAAAACAGGCTGTCGCCGAATATGATATGACCAAACGTACGTGTGATCTACCTTAGCTGACAGCATCGTCGAAATGGTTATTTCCATTGACGTGATTCCATAAAACTTTTGGGGGGTATACCATTGACTACCAAAACGCTCAACACTTCGCCCTATTTTCTGTTTCCGAGCCCTCACTCAAAGAAGCCCGCGTCGTCATCTTCCTCTGCCACCTTGGCGGCGGGGGCCTTCCTCTCAGCCGCTCTGCGCTCCCTCCGGTTCATCGGCTGCTTGGAGTCCTTCTTCTTCTCCCACGTCTTCTTTGACCTGGCCACCCACGGATCCTCTTCCTTGACCCTCTGCGGCCGCGTCTGTTGAACGGGCCGTTGCGGCCGTTGCTGGCGCTTGGCGGGACCGTCTGTCGGTGACTTGCGATCGCGGAGCCGGTACAGCGCCACCTCGCCCTCCGGCAGGACCTTCTCGATCGTTGCCCACATCTTGGGTCGTTCGGCGTGGAGGAACTGCAGGGCCTTGGGTTGCTTTGAAGGCTTTGCATCCGCCTCCGCTTCAGCTTCAGCTTCCTCGACCTTGTCCTCGTCTCCCTCCTCCTTGGCGTTCTTGTCCTTGTTGGGGTACAGACTCTCGTAGCGCTCCATCAGGGGGAAGAAGCGGGCGTAGGCGACGTCGACTTCGGCTACGTGGGCCTCGGCCTCGAGGCGCTTCTGTTCTTCGGGGTCCTCGGATTGCTGGAGCTTCTTACGGAGCTGCTTCAGTAGTCTCTCTGCCTTTTTCCGTTCTGCAAAGAAGAAAAGATGTTAGCTGGTGTAACTTGGCGAGTGGGGAGGAATGGCCACGTACCAAAGAATCGAACCATGTGGTACTTCTGAATCATGTCGCCCCTTCTCTTCCTAAAGTCGTGCTCCTCGACCCTCTCCTGCAGCGCATCCAGCTCTTGTTCCAGCTCATTACGTTTCGTGGCGGGCAATTCCTTGCCGCTCTGCAAAAGTCTCCTGATGTTTCTCGCGCGCGTCTTGTTCCAATTTGTGGTGCCCTCCTTCGCTCTAGACTTCTTCTTGGTGGCCTTGAACCGCTTGTTCTCGTGCTCGCCATCTTCCGAACCCGATTGCTGCTGTTGCTCGTAGGCGTCGTCCGGGATGGCCCCCTCCGAAATAACCTCGGAGTGTGCTCTTTTTGTGCCCATTATGATGTTGATTGAGGATTTTCGGTGGGCAAGATTGCGTCGTGTTGCGTCGTGCGGTGTTGCGATGTGGGCAATTGACTGCGGTTGGTGCAGAACGGTGTGTGGAGGATGAAGAGCCGACGATGATTTCGCGAACTTCTCTTTCAAAAATTTGGCTCGTTATCGGCCATAGGGAAGTTGCCGACCCCACCTGGGGTGCTTATCAGTCCCAAACGGGACTGGTAGCGTGACTGGTCTGTGCGCACCAATGACAGGTCCCAATTACAACGGCTCACTGGTTTGGAAGCGAGGCAATCCCGCCCAAAGCTTCAGCGACTTCAGATGATACCTGATTGAAAGCAACTACTGGCGCGGAAATTCTCTTGATATACCTTGCCTTCATGACCATAAACTAATCGGCATTGAAATAACAAGACGATTGGGACTGTCTCGTCAAAGCGTCATCACCGCGCAATTAATACGACATCACGTCATCCGATACAGCTCGCCTAGGTACTTCATCCAGGCACTCATGGCTGAGCGCTCTTCCGACTTTTCGTTGTTGAGATAGGCACTTCTCTCGAGCTGTCTGGACGAGAAAGGAGAAAGCCGAGATAATCACGAAAATCAGGCGCGTGCGGTCGCCATGGACCGCCCGGAGCCTGGACTGATCAAATGGTCGCAGATACCCGGCTATGACAGCTTCATCCACATAAACCTGCAGCATCGCGTCGTGCAGCTATATGAGCCTAACGGACTTGCACAGAGAAACCGCTTCGATTATACGAGGCTGTCAAAGCATGATGATTTCCCAACACTCACTACCTATGACTGGTCGCCAACGGTCCCAGGTCTTTTGGCCGTTGGCACTCAGACGGGCGTCGTGAACTTGCTCAGGATGGACGACAACTCCAACGCCTACATCGAACTGAATCTTAAGATGACAAGAACGTGTCAGGCAGTGGCATTCAACACCGAGGGTCTTCTTGCAGTTGGCCTGGACCGAGTGCGCATGGACCAGTGCCTACACATTTGGGATGTCAACAGGTTGTCGACGATGAATACGACCGCCAAAGGCTTTCCCAAGGATCTACACGCTTTCTCAGACCCGGCACATCGACTGGAACACAGTGTTTCAGTTTCAAGCGTCAAATTCTTTGAAGATAATCCAAAGACACTGGTGGTTGGTATCAAAGCTCAAGGTCTACACATTCATGACCTGCGAGGTAAATGAGAATTCCACAGTCCATCGGAAGAAACCTGCTGACTCTATTCCACTTCAGAACCTGGCAGTGTTGTAACATTTCAGACCAAGTGTAACAACAATCTTGCCATTGATTACGCTGACCAGAACTACTTTGCATCATCCGCGCTGGACCAACCTGGCATCATGATTTGGGATAGACGAGCATCTTCCCGCCCAGTTGCTTCGCCATCTTATCTGGGCGCAGTTGAAGAGGACGACCTCCCGTGGGGTGGTGCTTTGAGACTTGACAGAGTGGTTGAGATGGACGACGATTCCTCCTTGAGCGAAAGCAAGCACTCCATCGTCCGCTCCCTGCGTTACTGTAGAGACCGTCGGGGTCTCCTGGCTGTGTTATCTCGATCCGGCCAGCTCAAAGTCTTGGAGACGAACAAGGAGATTACGCATCGCGACATGGCTCTGGAAGGTAGCCCGGAGCTTCTCGAGGTTCACAAATCCCACGATATGGATGTTCAGTACGGCGACAGCGGCAGAAAGAATGACAGAATTGTCTCTTTTGACTGGGTGACGCTCGACTCTTCGGTTCTGCAGCCTCGCCTCCTCGTTTTGCGTGCCAATGGGACCTTTGAGATCCTTGAGCAACCGTCGCATACTTCTGACTATCTGTATAAGCTGACGCCTTGGCAACCACCACATCGTGGATTGGAAGGTATGTGTCCCCAGCATGTTTCACGAGAGAAAGACCACTCACGTTAGGCAGAAGGCGGAGCGTACCACGAGATCATGGAATTTGAGCCGTCGCAGTCTTCCGACATGCTCGGTCCCTTATTTGTCGAGGAAGCACTGTCCGACATTCCCATTTTCGGCCCCGACAAGGCTGATGTTCAGTCTATCGTGGATAAGACATTGCAGTCAAAGTTTTCTGCAGCAGATCTCAACAGTCGGTTGATGGGCAGTGGTAGCAGCTCCCCGTCGCCCCTCGACAAGTCAAAGTCTACGGCAGAGAAGATGCGAGCTTTGAGAACGGAGCTGAAAGAAAAGGCCAAGAAAGCAGAGAAGAATGGCGCAGAGAGCTCAGTCATGGAAGAATCAGTCAGTTCGCTCGCTCAACTATCCCTATCTACTGAGGGGCCAGTCTCGTGTCGCCACATGCATGAATCTCTTCTTTCGCTGCCCCTGAAGGCCCAGGACTTGTCGACCGAAGCACAATGTCTCCTGGACCACGTCATGCTTCTCCGCGCGAAGGAGAAGTATCTTTTCGATTGCAATGTCAACCGCGCTGTGGTATCCGATGATCCGTGGCTGCGGTATATGTGGGATTGGGTTTCAGGTGAATTTGTTGATTGCGTTAGAGTTATTGTTGCTAATCCTGAGCAGACGCCGAAGATGCTGCCGCGGACGGAGGCATGAAGTTGTCGCCACTCGACCTTAGTTACATGGGCGTCTGTACCATCTGGTGCGATGATTTAGGTCCGTAAAGAGTTCGACGCTGTTGATATTATTGCGACTGACATGCAACAGGCCGGAAGCCGTCATCTAGACTTCCAGAGGCGTCTCCAATCCCCGAAACGACGTTGTGGGAGAAGTGCATTGGAAGCATCTGTAAAAAGCGGCGACTACCAAAGTACGAAGGCATTCACACCAAGAAGCCTTTCCACAGACAGCTTTGTCTAGATATCTGCGAATGGGGGGACACGGCGGCACATGAAGCCAGAGGAGCAGCGACACATGATCCCAGCCAAGACTATCCGACAACAGCACACACGATGGCAGCAGCCCGGGCTCTCTTCAAAGGCAACACGCAGGAGGCGATTGGAATCCTGAAGACGGCAAGCGTAACACACCCAGAGT